ACAGGTAATAATAAACGAATATTATAAATCCGCAAAGATCGGTTTCTATAGAAAATACTCTGAACCTTCCTGTATCAATTGCAGTAACTTGCACGTTTCGTCACCTGAAGGCAAGCCACATCCACACGGTTTCTTTAAGCTAATATAAAAGTCGATCGACAGTGGCAGATAAATCTTCCAGGTTTCGCAATTGTCGTTCGATCCCGGCTAGATCGCCTCCGTAACGACCGAAGCCTTCATCCGCATATGCGCGGCTGTCTGTTTCTGGACGAAACAACATCGGCATGCCAACACTGCCTCTGCCTCCGAAACGAGACCCCCCTTGCATTCCGTTGCCATAATGGCCCCCCGGGCCAAAACCTCGCCTACCTTCATATGGATAATCATTCAAACCGCCTTCTAATCCGCGGAGACCAAGCCCACCATGCATACCTTCAATACCACGAAGTTCCTCCAGTTCCCTTAAATTTTCTAGTTCTCTTTCCCTCATGTTTTCTCGTACTTTACTTGACAGACCTCTTCTGCTGCCCCCCAACCTTTTTCGCCCGCTTCCTCCAAGTCTAGCGTCTGAGAAATCATCAATTCCCAAATGCGGCCTACTTCTCAAATGTTCAAGCGGATAATCCAACCCCAAGCCATCTAATTTCCCTAACCGGTTCACGCCGTTATACCCTCCCCTCCTGTTTTCTAATTCAGCTTTCAAAAGGTGATTACGAATGCGGCGTTCATCCTCCTTAAGTTGTCGGTTAATTATCCGTTCATCGTTAAGCAGATCTTGAGTGAGTGATTTTTTCACACGACCATGTCGTTGTTTACGACTTTCTTCACTGGATCTACCTTAATTAAAATCAACGCAAATTATTTGTTTATTCACGTAGATCACTGCTATACCTTCGCTTGAGAGAAAGCAGAGTAGTTCCAAAGCGATGATCATAGCTATTGGTCTCATTTTGCCGATCTAAGGCTCTCTAAGACCGACGGTGCGGCAGTCAACGCTGAAACATCAGCGACTTCACCGAAGTTGAACCTTAAGTAGTATAACAGGTTTTTAGCCTTTCTAAAGGCTGCCAGCATACCGATTAAATTCCTGATAACTTTTTGACGTTTCTGATTTGTATCTTGCGTGAGCGGAAAAATCGCGGATACAAACAGCTGCAAGAATAAAGTTCATAAAATTTTAGCCATACAGAATAAGTAGTGTGATCCTTGCTGTACATCAACAGTTGTTAGCATCTCATCCTTTAACACTCAAGAATATTGTGACTCGGAAAACTATTCCAACGTAATGTCTACTTTTGAAAGGTAGATAAATTAAAAAAAACGATTCTCTATAACAAGCTGAAGGTAATCACCGCAAGATCAAAGTCCTATGCTAATTTATGCAGATACTCAACGTCAGTTTTGGCCATCCCACAAGCGGATAAACATCGAAAGATTTCCAACTGAAAGTCATTAAATCGGTCTGGGACATTAAAACCAATAAAGACTTTGACGTGACTGGGTAACGAAATCAATCGGAATTACGTAGTTGTTCAGTCTGTCACCCATACTTCGATGCACAACGCCCACGAATCAAAGTAAACTCGTCACCAAGCTTAGATCAGATTTAAGCTCTCGACTCGAAACCTATCCTGCCGCTACAAGAAACCATCAACAGTTTTTTGATGGACATTTACGAAATACTAACCAACATTAATCAATTCCATTTGAATAAATTTTATTTAACTTGTATTTCATCTTGACTAAGAACACGTTTCATATCACTGAATAACAGCAAAAGATAATTGCCTAATATGAAACTGACCATGAATGCAGCGAGAGTCATAACGTACTTGGCCGAGAACATTCAGAACGGCTCAACTAAATGTTTTTCACCATAATACCTTTATAGCGGAGTTCTCTGGTAATATCGCTCAGAGGCAACACTAAATGGAGTAGCAAATTCAGCTATCTTTTATAAGTGAAAGTGACCCTCCTTCAAATTCAGTCAATCAATTTCGATGACCACGTATCCTTTCAGGTCGGCTAGTCACACGCAGCAGACA